GTCAACCCTTTGTTCATTAGTATGGACTTCTTATACCTAAGAACATTATTCTCAAATATAACCCTTTGGGTATGGCTTTGGTTCAACCGTCTATTTGTCCAATTGTATCTTGGTAAAAGGGAGGACAGATTCTTATTGAATCTATGCCAATAACTCTTTTGTCATGAAAGGTAAGGAAACTCATGAAAAGTATTTGTTTCTGAATTCTGAGGACATCAGAATTAGATACCAGTTTTAAATGTTTCATTTCAGTTTACTAACACATGTATCCATAAAAAGGTAATATTAAAAATAATACACCAGTATTCCACACAAATAACCACAATTAAAATTTCCCTCATCCGTTCATTCACTCCTCTGTAATTTTTATTTTCCAGGATCTTGGGTTAAGCAATGGACTCTCATGAAGTATGTCTGGATTGAGGAGAATCTCTGGAATCTTAGAATCCAGAAATTCTGACTCAGTCTACTGGTACAGTCTTGAAAGGTGTTAAAATGATGCCAAACAAAGAAGCTTGTACTCAAGAGTCTATTCTTTATGGTATCAGTAGTTAAGAGTCCCTACTACTCTTGGCACCTTCCTACGAGGCTTTCTTGAGGCTCTGACACTTAGAGGCTTTGAGCTTAGAGCAGAACCTTCAGAAAAGCATCCAATAAAAGCATAAATGATCATGAGACTGAATGATTGTGATTAGTTTCTTTAACAATATAAAAATAAACAGTAAAATTCTCTATTGTGGTATTCTACATAATTATTTCATTAAAAAGTTGGTCAAGGAGGGTGACTGGTTAGCTCAGTTGGTTAGAGCATGGTGCTGATAACACAAGGATTGCCGATTCAATCCCCGCATGGGCCACTGTGAGCTGCGCCCTCCCTAAAAATAGTCAACTATGTCATTGTAGCATGAAAGCAATGTGTAACCAATGACCATGGCTGTTCCCTAATAAAATAAAAATTTAAAAAAAAAGTCAAAAACAGGTAAGGACATATTACAAACAGTAAGGGCATTAACAAATCTCCAGGGCCTGTCCATAAAATGTACAAATCTGAAATATTTACATTAATAACATTTTACCCACACAAACTTAATCTAGGAAAGTCTAAACATCATTTCTGATTTGACAATTCTTCCCATGCTGCTCTTACAATAATGTTGAGCTAATTAAGAAACATGGTGAAAACCAAACAAACCTGACTGTTTCTAGCATCCCTCTTTTTTATAAAGTGAAGTAACAAATCTTGGTGATCTTCCAAGGGCCCTCTGGGAAATCTCAAAGATAATTGTAGGTATACAAGACATCCTGGAAATAATTCCTTTCTAAATTTAGAACCTGGTCTCTTGGGGAGGCAAAATCAAAAAGTTACCAGAGAAGATTTAGACACTTCATGTAAATACTAGCATGGGTGCTGAGAAACAACAGTTGGTTAACCTACTTTACCAAAATGATAATGAAATATTTTGAGATAGGCATAGAAGGCAAAACAATGATAAGAAACTTGGCTCTTTCACTACTTTTCATCTTATTTTTTAAATAAGTCATGCACCACTTAATGATGGGGATACTCTGAGAAATGTGTCATTATGCAATTTTGTCGTTTGAACATCATAGAGGCATTTACACAAACCTAGGTGGTCTAGTCTACTACACGCCTAGGCTGTATGATACAGCCTGTTGCTCCTACGCTACAAGCCTGGACAGCGTGTTACTGTACTGAATACTGAAAGCAACTGTAACACACCAGTATTTGTGTACCTAAACTTATCTCAACATACAAAAGGTACCGTATAAAAGATTTGAAATGGAACACCTGTATAGGGCACTTACATAAATGGAGCTTCCAGGACCGGAAGTTGCCCCGGGTGAGTCAGCGAGTGAGTGGTGAGTGAATGTGAAGGCCTAGGACATTCCTGGACACTGCTGTAGACTTTATAAACCCGGTACTCTTAGGCTACCCTAAATTTATAAGACAACACGAGATTAAATCAAGCACAAGAAAAAATGGTGCAATCAAGAGACACGGTAAACACGAGATGCATGAGGCTGCCAGCACAGGACATGGCATACTGTTTTACAGCAAAGGTTTTTTTATAACTAGAAAGAATATGCACTAAAATAACGATAAAGTATAGTATTAGTAAATACATAAACCAGTAACATAGTTATCATTATCAGGTAGTATGTACTGTACATAATTGCATATGCTATACGTTTATGCGACTGGTAGGTTTTACACCAGCATCGCCACAGTGAGTAAACACGTCACGCTGCAACATCACGGTGGCTGCTACGTCTCTAGACAACAGGAATATTTCCGCGTCAATATATAATTTTATTGGACCACCACCATATATAGTATATGGTCCCTTGACTGAAATATCTCATGCAGAACTTACCTGTAATCTAGAATAAATAAAATCAACACAAGGCAGAGAAATGATTCCGGTGAGACCTGGAATTTCTACCATCTGTGCAGATTTCATGAAAAGTAAAGAATAATTTTACTGCCACTAGTTAAGCTCCAAGGCCAACTTATTATCATTTGCCAGCAAGAAAACCAAAATTATAGCTTTGCATGAATGTAAAATTTATGAGTAAATATTTTTGTGTTCTTAATTTTCCCTTAAATAATTTTGTATATAAGGCTATCAAAACAGTGATAAATTTGCCAAAATTCTAACATATTTATATAGCCTCTTTTCAAACTGAGATACTATATATCAAGAGAAATAAAAATCCCTTCCTTCATCCCCTCTTCGATTTGTTATCTACACCCAAGTTTTATCTTTCCTCTATGCTTTCATATTCTGGAACAAACTGACACCTTATGTCAAAACAACTATCTTTTTTCTTGAAAAACAAAAAACACACACAGTTGCATTTCTCTGCCATTACTGATTCCAGTATAGTCTCAATCAGCTATATTAATTATAACTTTTAATCAAATTAATAATTCTATCTCATGGAGAAAACTGGGAGGTAAATAATAGAGAATTAACTGTCATATATAAGTGTTTGGGTAGAAAAGCTCATGCATATAGAACTTTCTACATCCATATCCATTCCTTTTATACTTTCTTAAAATGGAAAAAATTAATACATTTATTAATGTATCCCAAAGATATAGCTAATCTATAGCAAATAAAAATAAGCAAAAGTATATAAAATTATACTTAATAATCAATGTTTCAATATTCCATATTACTTGGAAATTACTTGGCATTTAATAATTATTCGTTAATACCTCAATTTATTAACCCAAGTTTTAAGTTGCTTAAGGGTTTCGGAAATTATTTTTCAGCTGAAAACTGAAAAACACAATTATTGGTGGTATTACAATTTTGTCAAATTCATAACTCAATTTGGTTGGATACAAATTTATACTTTTATAATCTTAAACATGAGGTAGCAGTACTTGATCTTATTTGACCAGTAAGCCAGTATAAAAAGTTTAGGAAATTCAGATTAATTAGTCTTTTCCTAAGATAACAAACCCAAATCTTATTTTTAAGGGTTAAATGTATGCTTGTATCATACTCTTTTTTTTTTTTATTAAACTCATGGTAAAGACATGTAAATATTTTTTAAAACCAAAATAATTAAACCAAGCTAATTTGTTCAAAGGCTCACCTTCATTATGTGAACTTTGATTCTTAAATGTTCCTGAGCCAACAATTTCAATAAGAATAATTTTTTCTTAAAAGTGTAGCACATTTAAAACAGTTTATTAAAACTGTTACTTTATTTTCTGGGGTTTGTGGGAATGTTTGAGTCCTATAAATGATTTTTTATCCCTATAAGCCAATCAGAACAATGCTCCTTTAATTTAAGAGACATTGTAATCTAGTTTTTTAATAGCCTTCAGTGTTAGGAAAATATTTCATACTACACATGAGAGGTAAAGGTCTTTCTCAATCACAGATATACAGGCACACATGTGCATGGAGAGCTCATGGCTTCAAATCTACATCTTTAGCCACAGCCAGAAGTGAACCAGAAACACAAAAACTTAGAGTTATTTTCCTTTCCAGTAGGCACATAAGTCTGAATGGATTTGAGGTTACAAATAGAAAAACAGATGTAAAAAAAAGAAAAACAGAACAAAACAAAAAAAGACTAATAAATTGGATTTTCTGTCATGTCTCACCCAACAGAGTACAAGTCTTTTTTTACACATCTAACAGACATCACCAAATAGACCATAAAAATAAGCCTTCAATTGTTGCTGCCACTCACACTGACTAACTCATTGAAAGTGTGCAAACCAGAAATGAAAACAAGTGCCTAACATCAGTAGAAAAGGAAAAAAGAACTACAGAGTCAGAAAACTTCAAGTTCTGTTGCCATTCAGAATTCATGGCAGAAGCCACGAAAAGATGTTTCAGCAAATCAGCTTATTTGTCTCAACCAGGTTAGTCCTCTCAAATATCTCAGTGTATGACCTTAAAAACTGATAAAATATACTCTTTAAAAGGTTATGTGACCCTCTCATACAAGAAAATAAATATGTGACAAGGATTTTATTTAACTTATTAATATACAATATGAAAACTGGCTCCAAGAGCACTTGAGTGTTTTGGGCAACATTAAGATAAGATTGCTGGGCTGTGTACAAGTCTGGCTAATGTTCAACAGGCACAGAAATTGTCAGTTAAGGGATCTTTTCCACAAGTCAGAAATTATTTTATTTCTACAAGTCAGAAATTACTAGATGGAAATATCCCAATTAACATGTAACTTCACTAAGTCTGGGACCTTTAATAAATAGTAAATAGTATATAAAATTACATTTCTCTAGTTAATCCTTGGGTAGGCTTCATCTCAGAGGATATTGAAAATACCTGTGGCCATGACCTTTTTTAATACTTCAGTGAAAGCAGCCTGAGGTTAAGGTAATCACCTTGTAATCGCCCTTCTTTCATCAGTTGAGAGGCAAACTAATGTAGGTGTCCTAGTGTTGGTGACAACACTTCTCTTGCATCACCCTCCTGACTACACTACATAATTCACTCCAGTGTGAAAGAAGCTGCGAACTGGAGATCTGGATGAAAGAGGTTGATAGTTTTAATATTCTTGATCTTTAAAAAAAATATTGCCAGTAGCTTAAATAAATGTATATTTTTAAGGAACGTGTAATGGATGATGTTAACCATTAAACTATAAAGATTTTAAAAGTTTGTAGCTTTGAATTTTCTTTAAAATGCCAGTAGCCTATTGATTTTTAGAAAACACTGTATGGTTTCATTAACGTACTTTTTCATCTTTATACATACAAAAAATAAAACCCCTAAGTTCTCCTGTTAGAACAAACTGGGTATATACACATACATTATATATATTTAGATACTTTGTGCAAGTTGTATCATTGAGTATTTATATTTCCAGTGGGTGACATTGAATGTATTGATATCTACTAAGTGTGTTTCTGTATGATAAACAATGTGTTTACAAACCTGAAGAGGTATAAAGTGAGTAAAAAAGGAATGAAAAGCAGAACAAACCCTGGCTATTACAAAATTCTTAAACTAAGTGTTCTTTCTTTTTAATATTAAAATTTTTTCTGTGACAGGCTTTCTCATATTAACATACCTAATCAGAGCTTCAAAAGTTTATCATCTTAGTCCTTTATAGTGAGTGGCTACTATTGATAGACCTCAAAATGGCAACAGCAACTTTTCACATTTTTTATTGTTTAGAAATTTTTACAATATGTGTATATTAAATTTACAATATGTGTATATGTGTATGTTAAAATAACAATAAAGATAGGAAAAAGGACTGTAACATGATTGAAACATAATTTTAGGTATGCCTTTTGACAGGAAATACAATCATTTAAGAAAAGAGGTACAGCCCAAAGAGATTTTTGTAAATACTCATTGATTCAAGTAAACTTCAAAGGTTTACTCCATCTTTTGTGTAGATTTTCCTCCTCAGGCAGTAAAGCCTTTTATGGTAGAGTGAGAGCTGTGCGATACTAGCTGTGTGCACAGAACTAAATCCCCCTGTGCCATTACCATATTAGTGGCTGGGGAAAAAAAACTTTATTATTGGCGAGTTTGTGCTCTGTGGAATTAAAATCCCAGTCAGACACATAATTATTACACTGGAAATAAACTACTGCAAACTCCTTGCTTGCTGAGCTCTCTCTGTGAAATGGAATACAGAGCACTATATGATGCCTTTGCCCCACATTTTATTGTTTATTTATAAATTCAGTGAAATTGCTCCTCATTCAGACAGATGTGCTCACATTACTTTATGAGCCTGGGAAGCATCTTTTTTTAGATGTTTCTGTTAATTTCGCTCTTCATATCCACTGAGAATAGTCAGATATATTACGTGTCCCAAAATCAATTCTTGGAACGTGTCATAAATATCTTGTTGGTGCTCAAGTTGACCTTTTGTCCACCATCTTTTCTCCAAAAGATGAAATGTTTGAGACAAGAAATTTCCCCTAACAGCCATCCAGCTCTTCAGCACACGTTTATTGAGCCCATGCTCTCTGCTAGGCTTGGCCTGGGCCCCAAGGATGCAGTGGAGACCCACACAGGCCTGGTTGCCGGCCCTGCCCTTCTGCCCTTACACAGTGAACCTGCCTCCAGGGCAAGTTTGGCTTTGCTCAAAATTACCTCCCCTCTTCCTATATATCCTCAGGACAAGTTAAAAATGTCATGTGTTAACTGAGGCGTGTTCAAGCCTCTAATGTGCCTGTTAGTGGGTTTCTCATGTGCTAATTGTTCTGCTGTGTCCCAACATCAGTCCTCCTTATTGGCACATCAGAAACCTGTGACCTGAGGGGATCAGAAGGCTGAGGACCTTAGAGCACAGGAAGAAAGGTCCACTCCCAGGGCTATTGGTTCTAACCCAGGATGCACAATGGAATCACCTGGAGAGGTTTACAAAACACAGGCCTGGGTCTCACTCCCAGAGCGTCTGATTTATTAGTCTGGGATGCCACATGGGGACATGTAATAGCTTCTCAGATCATTCTAATGCATAGTTGAGAGGCACTGCTCTAGGGGCACTTAGCTCCTGGCTGGTGGAACGGTAATTTCCAAACCACATTCTAACATTTACCTTTCATGTTGCCACCCTACCTACAAAAGAATCTTGTGAAAGAACCTAGTTATCTTTTCTCTCTGACCTGTTGGTACCTGCTACGATTCTTCTGAAAAGATAAACATGCTCCCCCTTAAGCCTCAGTGACAAAGAATTTCAAAATATTTATCTTACCTTTTGTGAGTAATTCTCCTTTGTCACTCAGTGAGATGATAGCTGTAACGGAACATCCTTTTAATATTAATCGGTATTTTCTGAAAGACAGAGCCCACTTCTGATGCCTCACTATTGTTTCCTTACCTTGCTTACCTTTCGGATAAAAAGGAGTCCTGAATATCCAGGACAGCAATCTGCACCAACCAATGCCACAGCGTTTGTCTTGTTACTCTTTTGTTCTAGGATTTCCTTGGGGACCCAGGTGTTGACTAAAGGACTGGCCCTCTAGACCTCATGCCAGCTCACAGAGTTCATCCACAACGCCAGGTAACCCATCCTTCATGATGCAAGTCTGTTATGAAAACTCCTCTTTCTTACTTGGCTGTTCTGTGTTTGCACCACTGCCAAGGAGACTGTCAACAAGAATGAGGTCAGTTGTGTGTGCCCCAGTTTCAGGGAACCCCTGCCTCATATGCCCCTCCACTGCTTCAGGAACAGGTTGTCAGTATTTAAGGAAGAGCCCATTTGCCCAACAGAGCCAGAGTTTGGCCTCACTGCCCTCTCCAGGGAATAAACCACTCTTTCTGATACTGTAGATTCTTCTTTAAAAGATAATGTTGTCTTGCCTATGTTGATGAGATGTTACAAGGCCCTCTCCAAAAGAGCTTTGTCTACTTGGTCAGGTTTCACACAGCCTCCTACTTGGGGAGAAATGAAATGTATCAAACACTGTTGTTTTATGAGAAAGAGCCTCGCACAAATGTCAAGGTTTGTGCTAAATGCTGGAGTCATGGCCACTGTGCCTTAAGGCTTTCATCAGGGAGAGAATGCCATACAAATTAAGTAACCACAAAGTAATATGAGGTTAACAGAAAACAAAAATATTAATTTCAAAGGAATGAATTTGGGGAAGAAAATTATTTCTACGGCTTCAGGAAGTCAAGGTCAGAATCCCCGATACTTAAGCATTTAAAAAAATTCATCTTTATTAGTTTTCTGAATATGAAAGTAATATATATATATATATATATATATATATATATAAAAGTAATATATACTTCTTGTATCTGTTAGGAATGCTTTCAGCTATAAAATAAAACCCACTTAAGATGGCTTCAACAAATAAGTAAATGTATTTGCTCATATAGGAGGATATCCAGAGTTAGGTGAACTTCAAGGTTGGTTCACCTAACGGTGTTAAAAGTAAGACCCAGGTCCCTTCCGTCTCTGCACTCTGATGGCCACAATTCAGCTTTATCCTAAGTCTGGTTACCCTCAGCGTCATAGTGTGGCTTTCAGTAACAGCAGGGGCCATATAATTCTTTATTTTTGTCTAGCCCAGTGAGGAAAAAGAGGTGTCCCATACCTCTTCTAGAAGAATAAGGAAGATCCCCAGAAGCTTCCAGAAAAACCTTTCCTCTAGTCCCATTTACTACAATTGGGTCACATGCTTATTCCTGAACCGGTTATGGAGGTTGAGATTCCTCCAGCACCCACCAGTCATAACCTTCAGCTGAGGACCAGCATCTTCTGTAGGACCTGGGCTGTGTGGGGAGGAGCACTGGCATTCCGTTAAGAAAGAAAAAGAGGAACCAATACAAAACATGTAAAATTCACATTGGAGAGCCCTGACCAGACACCTTAAGTAGGTGAGCAAAAGAATAATACATAACTAAAAAGCTAATAGAGGAGATAAAAGGGAATGATAATAATTTTAAAAACTTGATTGATTCAAAAGAAGGCAGGAGATGAGAAATATGGGAACAAAAAAATAGATGGGATGAATAGAAAACAAATAGCAAGATGGTAGATTTAAAGTCAACATTAAATCTATAAGGACTAAACATTCGAATTAAGAAACAAAGGTGGAGAAATTGGACTGAAGAAATCAAGCATGACTCACCTATTGCTGTTTTAAAACACATACTTTAAATATAAACATAAGGATACAGATAGATTGAAAGTAAAAAGATGGAAAAAGATACCATCAAACATCAACCAAAAGAATGTTGGTGTGGCCACATTAATATTGTCATATGAAACTGCAGGGAATTTGCATAACTAAAACTTGAAGGAGAACAAAATTAGAAGAGTTAAATTACCAGATATCAAGACTTAATATAAAACTACAGCAATTAGGGCAGGTATTGACAAAACAAGTAAACCAAAGAAACAGAATAGTCTAGAAATATATATATATATATATATATATATGTTAACTGATTTACACAAAGGCTTCACTACAGTTTAGTAGAGAAAACATTTTTTTTAACAAGTTGTGCTGGGTCAATTGGATATGAATGTGGGGAAAAAATTAAAATTGAACTCTCATATCTTATTCAGAAATTAACTAGAGATGGGTTATAGAACTGTACCTAAATATGAAAGGCAAAGTCATAAAGTTTTTAGAGGAAAACATAAGAGAATATCTTTATGATCTTTGAGTAGGCAGATATTGTTCACGAGCACTTCATGGTTTCTAGCTTTTTTATATTTTCATCCTAATGATTAAAAATGGTAGCTCATTTCCATTTTAATTTACAATTCTTTAATCGCAAAGTTGAACACCTTTCCACATGCTTATATGTCATCAATATTTCTTTTTAAGTGTTCATTTGTATGCTTTGCCTACTTTTCTATCAAGTTATTGTTTGTTACTTATTAATTTAAATTTTTTTATATACTAAGGAAATGTATATAGCAAGGAATACTTCTACTTTTCTAAGACTTTATTTGTTAGGGAAGTTTTAGGCTCACAGCAAAATTGAGAGGAAGATACAGAGATTTCCCATACACCTCCTCCCCCAACACAGGCCTAGCCTCCCTCATTATCAACATCCCATGTCACAGGGGGAAATTTGTTACAATTGATGAATCTACATTGACACATTATAGTCACCTCAAATCCATCATTTACCTTAGGGCTCACTCTTGGTGTTGTACACTCTATGGATTTGGACAGATGTCCCCCTAACATTTGGTAAGCTCTGATCTTTTTACTGTCACCGTAGTTTTGACTTTTCTAGAATGCCCCATAGTTGGAATCATATATTATGTAGCCTTTTCATATTGGTTTCTTTCACCAACGATATGTATAGTGATATATGAAACATTTGTTTCCTCCATGTCTTTTCATGCTTGATAGTTCATTTCTTTTTAGCATTGAATAATGTTCCGTTGTCTGGAGGTACCAGTTTATCTATCCATTCATCTATTGAAGGACATCTTGGCTTCTTTCAAATTTTGGCAGTTGTGAACAGAACCACTATGAACATCCATGCTCAGGTTTTAGTGTGAACATAGTTTCCAATTCCTTTGGGTAAATACCAAGGAGCATGATTGCTGGATCGTACGATGAGAGTACGTTTAGTTTTGTAAGAAGCCACCAAACTGTCTTCCAAAATGGCCGTATCATTTTGCATTCCCATCAGCAATAATGAGAGTTCCTGTTGCTCCACATCCTCACCAGCATTTGATGTTGTCAGAGTTCTAGATTTTGGCCATTCTTATAGGTATTTAGTGGTATTTTATTGTTGTTTTAATTTGCACTTCCCTGATGCAAGTTAAAAAAAGCATCTTTTCACATGCTTATTTGTCATCTGTATGTCTTCTTTGGTGAGGTGTCGGTCAAGGCCTTTGGCCTATTTTTTAATTGGGTTGTTTGTTTTCTTATTGTTGAGTTCTAAAAAATAACAGTCCTTTGTCAGATATGTCTTTTGCAAATATTTTCTTCCAGTCTGTGGCTTGTCTTTTCACTCTCTTGAGGGAATACTTTTTGTACTAAGGAATATGTTATACACTAAGGAATACTTTGCTGCAGGTATTTTCCCAGTGTATCAATTAAAAATAATTCTGTTGCCAGAACTAGAACCCAACTTGTTTAAATAATAGAAGATATTTATTGACTTATATAATTGAAACATCCATGAGTAGTCACAACTTTAGGTAAAGTCAGAGCTAGCAGCTGAAACAATGTCATCAAAGGATCTCATTTCTTTATTTTTCTTTCTTCTGCTTTCCACAGGGTTGGCTTCATCCATAGGTGCCAGCAGTTCCAGACCTCATAGCCCCACTCTATGCTTTCCGGAGAAAGAGAGATAGTGGCTCTTGCTCAAGTCCTGGGATACCCCGCTCTCTCTCTCTCTCTCTCTCTGTCTCTCTCTCTCTCTCTCTCTCTCTCTCTTCTCTCTCTCCTCTTCCTCTCCCTCTCCTTCTCCTTCTCTCTTTCTGACTAGGTCATGTTCCCATCCCTAATCCAATTAGTTGACTCAAGTTGAAAGTATATGGTGATTAGTTTAAGTTCATTAGAACCCACACCCGCCCAAAGCATATAGATGAAAATGGGGAATAGAGAATCCCACAAAGAAATGTCAGAGTATATGAATACTTGGGGAGAAGGGGGCATCCATTAAATAAAAGCAGAATAGTATAGCCACGGAGTCCCTTACATATTTTATCAAGTCTAAATTTCTTTAAGCCCTACACTTTTGGACTCAGTTCTAGCAAACGGAATTCTATACCATGAAAAAGCCAGCCCTACTAATTGCAGATAATAGAAAAAAAAGTTACTGATGCCAGCATAAAAGATGAAATGCTAAGCAATAATTTTGAAAAATAATTTTGGATAAACTTGGAGGCTAAAACATTTACAAGAATGCTATCCTATTTTATATTAAGTAACCACAAAAGTTTCCTTGTAAGCTTGTCTGTAACAAGTGCTTTTCTGAGATATCTGGTTTCCAAGTTTGATGTTGTTCCTGCAAACGTAGCTTTTCATCTCTAAAAACTTTGCATGCTGCCTGGCTGTCATGGATAACTATATTTACATGGAGATTTGTAACTTAGAAGATGTAAACTGCCATTCTTCTTTGTTAAAAACAATCATCTTAGAACTCCCTCTTTCTCTCTTCTTCTTTTGTGCATAAAGGTAAGTAAACATAAGACTGGTTGATTCATTTTAAACAAAGTATTCCAGGAAGTTTATTCCAACAGCCAATCTGTCATTTGACTTTATGTTAATTTTTTCAGCTCAGGCATATATTATTTTTGTGTAGTTAAATTCACCAGTTCCCTGATGCCCCCCAAACAATGTCTCAAATCGCGTCCCTGTAAAGAAGCCCAAAAGTCCAGGTGCTTTCTTTCCTAGCTTCCCCTTTACCCAGTCTCCTCTCTTCCAGTCTCCCTTGTAGCTGGGGTGCAAGTATGTGACAGAGGTTTAACAAATCAGATGCTCCCACCCCAGGTTTTTTAATTGGCAGCTACTGACCCAAAGAAGTAATAACAGTAGCGTCCACAGCAGTGACAGCAGCAACCACAGCAATGTTGAATTTCTGGGAGCAGTAGATGCTGTGCAAGATACCATGGCCACGTCTCATGGCAGATTTGGGCTGTGGCCCCGCAGCTGCCTCGTCTCCTTTGTTCCTGCCCTTCACCGAGTCTGCTTCTCAAGACTTCCTGGTATTTCTGTGAACCAACAGCGTTTTAGTCAATTCTGTTCAGGCAGAGTTGGTTTCTGATGCTAAGAATTGTGATAGTTACCGATAAGGGGAATACCCTTTCCCAGACTCTGTGTCCCACTTTGCCATCTGAGCACAAGAAGAACGGCATGAAAATGGGTCCTAGAGCCTCAGCCATGCTTCCCCTCTCCTTCCCTCCCCTATTCTCCCCTGCCTTCTCTCTCCAGGGCTCAGGTATGACTCCAGATTCCAGAGAACCAGCGAAGGGGCCAGCATCAGAGACATGCTCCATACTCTCTATTCCTCACTGCCTCAACCTTCCCCACAAACCTTCCCTGGGAAGAGCCTCCACCCCAGACAACTCAGCTCCTATAAATAGATCCCTGGGGCCACCCATTCCACCAGTTCATCCATCCTCCCAGCCTAGTCTGGTTGTGAGGCTAGAACAGGGCACAAGTTGTACCTAACTTAGAACTCCCTACACACTGAGAAATTACGTATCTTGGGAAATAAATTGTCCTCTTTCTAAAGAGAGCCTTTAGCGGGACAAAGTCATTCCTGCCGAGGCTTCCCAAAGGCTTGAGTCCTGCCAATGTCCTCCTCCCTCCGTCCCTCTCTCTATTCCTCTCTCTCTTCCCCAAGCATTCCCTGAGCACCTTCTAAGAAGGCGACAAAATGAGAGAGCTCAGCCCAACCCTCCCTCAGGGAAGTCTCACTTCATTCCAACAAGTTCTGTAACTCAAAGTAAGTCACTGTGCATCAGGATAGCCAAGGCTGTTTCTTCTCTTGTAGGTGACAGAAGTCTCTTCTCTTTCCAGTGCAAAGGAAATGCCTTCAGATCTGAAGCATAAAAAAGGTGACATTTCCACTTTTTCAAAAAATCAAAAATTTTTTTAAAAAAACAGGCTCTGCCAAATAGAAATCATGTCCCAGGACATCAGTCATGTCCCAGGAGCCACCCAATAACACCTTCTCTGTGTGTCAGTGATGGTTGCAAGGCACCTAAAGTACGAGTGGGGGTTTCCCACTCCTGGGAATCTTCACCTGGAAGGCAGATGTAGGTAAATTCTGAGTGACCGAGCTGGTGGGGGTAGACTGGCTGCCTGTGTCACACTTAGACCTTTCCATTTTCCAGGGACCAAATATTGTGCACAGAATTGTTCAGTTACATCCACTGCCAATCGCTTTCAATAATCAACTTTCCATAAATATCAATATGCTTACATTGACATATACAGATAACACACACACACATATTCGTTTCATTATAAACACATTTTGTAAAATTATTGATATACATAAACAGTCTCTAATTAAAATAAATGTATAGTTGAACTGTTTAAGATTTTTGCCCTATAAGTTATAGACTAAACCACCCACAAAATAATAGAATCTAGCAGTAATCTTCATTCCTGCTGACCATGACTTTCCACGATAGAGACCACAGGACCACAGGACCTCGAGGGTCAGTTTTTCTTCATCTCCAGGTGCTAGGGTCACACACATTTATAACCCCTGTCAGAGAGGTATTCAGCCCCTGGGAAGGGTTATTACAAATCAGGTTTATTGAGAGGAAAAGGAGAGAGCGATTCCCAGGTGACCAACCCACAGAAGAGTTCAGGAAAGCTCTGTCTTCACCTGCTTTGGGTGGACTGGGTCCACTCCCCACAGAGTCCACCATGCACAGGATTCCTTCGGCCTCAAGAGGGCTCCTTTGGAAACACTGGGTTCTGAGGGTTTGGCTGCCTAAAGTTCTGAGAGGGGCTCATGCTCCAACTCAGGAGGTTCCCCACCCACCTGCAAGGTAAACGTACACCCAGGAGAAAGTTGAGACTGCTGCTGGGGTTGACTTCCCAGCATCCTATGCACCAAACTTGGGTCCACTCATGGAGCGGAACTTAAACATCATCACCAGTGGCTTAATGGCAGTCCCATAGGATAACAACTTGTCATCATTTTTAAACCCTAAAAATAGGCTAAATTCTTTTCACTACACAGACTTAGATCCAGTCCTTTGATTTTGTTCCAAATTACTTCAAAAGTCAAAAAAATAAACTGAAAAGATTTGTTTCTACTACTGCAGACACTTGCCAAAACACTCTCCAAGTATTTTTTTCAGTGATTCTCATCATACATTGGTATAGTTTTTAATACTCACCAAAATGCTTCCACCCATTTCCTCATTCGGTTCACCTAGGAGTGTCTTGTTGTTGTAAGGTTTGGGGAACATATCCATTTGACAGTCAAGGAAACTGAGACCCAAGGAGGCATAAGACTTGCACAGCTAGTAAATAGTATAGGAGCCAGGCCACCCATGCTTGTGCTCTGTACGTGCTTAAAATAGAACCAATAGAGGACTATGCCTCGGGATTTTCCAGGCTAACATACTAAGGAACAAAAACCAGTAAAACTATCTTATGAGGTCTGCTGTTAATTTTTTTTATTTGAAAGAGAAGATGCTAACTGCAAATGATTTTCTGTTATCTACATTTTGCAAAAGGAGAGAGAGGCAGAGAGAGAGAGAGAGAGAGAGAGAGAGAGAGAGAGAGAGAGAGAGAGAGGGAGAGAGAATATCAGGACTAAAGTGTGTACATTTTTATGTACATAGAACATTTTATGTACATAGAACATTTTTCTCTCAGCAAGTGAAAGGCAGACAACAAGCACAGCTTGCATGGCAGAGCTGTCACCTATTTTGTGTAATAGTGATATCCTAACAACATTGCGTATCAACTAGGATTTAGTAAATCAAATTATATTCTAAAGAATCAGCATCATTAAGGGCCTACTATGGAAAATTTATGCAAAATGAAGAATTAGTACCTAATTTTTCTCTTATGCAAATGCACCCTGTTTCAACAATTCTAAAGTACACTGAATTTTCTCATTTTAACCTCTCTAAAATCAGCACGCATCTCTGAAAGCAGGATACAGCTGACATGACATAAAATCACTGCCCACCAGGGGACAGTCATGATGAAGTAACGTGAAATCTTCCATTGAAACCTTGGGCTAGGATCAAAAAATCCTCAACCTTAGATTTATTTGATGAACTACATAATGACTTGCCTGAAGCAAATACAACTACAACAGTTGATTTTAAATGGGGATCAGGTAATAATACTAGGACCTAGGTTATATTTGAACCCTAGCTGTAGAATTCA